AAAACAACCATCCACTGATTTTTTTTTAAAATCTGAGTTGGGGACTGTACTGCGCTTGCCGAGTAGAGTCCAAATCCGCTGAGAAACTTTTTGGGATGGGGGAGGGGTATGGGGGGCTTGGGGTTGGAGCATACCTGTGGCGCAAGTGTGCTGGTCACCAATGCACAAAAAAAAAAGAAAAAACGGCTGTTATGTGTGAGAAGACGCAAGAGAGAGAGAGAGAGAGAGAGAGAGAGAGAGAGAGAGAGAGAGAGAGAGAGAGAGAGAGAGAATGTAAACAAATAGCTCCTTAGCATTTATTTCAAACCCCCTGCAGGGTATCCGAGAGGCCCCTGCACACAATCAGCAAGGGCCACGTTGCCATGAACGAGGTAGTAGTCATAGCCATGCTAAAGTCATGGCACGCCAAGTATATTTGCTGTTGATTCACTTTAAGGTCCGTGTTTCAGCAGTTATGGGACCACTGAGCACGCGAGTTTCTGGGCAGTAGCAGGCCAACTCACCACGTGCTTTTCAGGGCTTCCCTCCACTACTCACCAAATGTGGAAAACTAGAATGAATTTTCTGCTAGAACATGGAACTGTACGCCGCCATATGTTTTGTCTTTTGTGGAAGTGGTGACGAGTGAAGCAAGGCCCTTAGGGCCACTGCCCGTAGGAAACGGAAACCAAATCACTAAATGTGCAAAACTAGAATGAATCTTCTGCTAGAACATGGAACTGTACGCCGCCATATGTTTTGTCTTTTTTGCAAGTGGTGACGAGTGAAGCAAGGCCCTTAGGGCCACTGCCCGTAGGAAACGGAAACCAAAGAAAGAGAGGAATGAACCTTCTGCTAGAACATGGAACCACACACCGCCATATGTTTTGTCTTTTGTGCAAGTAGTGACGAGTGGAGCAAGGCCCTTAGGGCCACTGCTCGTAGGAAAGCGAAACAAAAGAAAGAGAGAGCTACGGTAGTAAGTAGTGGTAACTTGTAACCCATGACTGCTGGAAAGCAGACCTGACTTCGGATCCAGAACATATATTGCTGGCCTGCTCCTCTTTCATACGAAATTCGCTGAACGTCTGTTGAGATGTTGGGACAATTGCATATGCACTGCTGGGGTCCTCCGGGAAAAAGACTATTCAACAAGGAATACGTGAGCCCAATTTTTTTTTCTGTGGGGAGGTGCACCATTGGCTACGTCAGCCAGCGTTCTCCAATTTCTTTTTATACCCTATTTATTGGGGTGCGTCGCATCACGTGCGCGTGCATGCTTACACGTGCGTTATGCGCCGCACGTGTGGAGCTCGCGCGCATGCGATGCGCCACAGGTATGGGTTGGAGTATAGGGGGAGTATAGGGGTGATATAGGGGGTATTGGGGGGTTTAATAAGGGTGTTGGGGG